TTTTCTATTCTTCTCTTTAAAGATAAAACCGAATTACAAAAATTAAGAAACTAAAAATTCAGGCTTAAGCAAGGAAAAGAATTCTATAACACTAAATTCATACGTGCCATACTTTTATTCCCCCTTTTCGGGAGTACACTTTTCTTTTTGACGCCTGCAGACCTCTGATCCTCGTGTGATCGTTCAAGCGCTTCGTGATCACTCTCTGTACCTTCTTGTTGCTGTTCATTGACGTCATAAAAGTCTTCCTGGTAGTTTTCGTGCAGCCTGTGTTGATTTTCGTGATGTGCCTCGTGTACATGTCGCATGTGATCGATATTATTTTGAAGATGTTCGCCATAATTGTTGTAGAATTCTTGAAAATATTCATAGGGAAGTGGGCCCCAGTCAGGCGCGGACCGCACGATTACGACAATGGCGCAAGCGAGTACAAGAATAATACACTGCTGATAATTCATAGGTCTGGTTAAAGGTTAAGTGGACAAAAGCATCAGTGAACCTGAAAACAATCCAACCATAAACATTAAACAAAGTTCAATGGTGTCGGTTAAATCATTAAACACTTTCTGTGAGTTTTTCACTTTAGTGACTTTGTCTGTCAGGATTATGCGAAGCAATCTTTTCTCTAAGTAGGAGGCGTGGAACCTTTGCATAAACTACTGATTCCTGAATCTGTTTGTAAAAAAGCAAGCGTAAATAAACAGCTTTGGACTCAGTATTGCTCGTAACGTTTTATACAAGTCAAAGCTAAGTCAAGCAATCGTGAAAGTTTAACAGGTAACCCGCTTGTGATTAATACCTGTTGTGAAAGTTTGGTTTTTGGGGAATCTACCCGCTGACTTGAAATCTATCTCATGTTCTTTAAGTGTTATTTTCATTCACTGTAGACATAACACAATGGAAACTGCATTCACCTTAATCGAGAAAAACCTTAAGACGAGTAATAGGGGAGAAGTTGCCTTACATTCTAGTTTCTACTGTGCACTGATAAATTTACCACGGTGATGTCATTACAGGTCGAGCGCTCAGTGAGAGAAACATTTCATTCAACAATCATCCGCGAGATCCCCCTTGAGAAATGAGAATTAGATTTCTCAGAACATTCTATGTATTTGGTGTAAAGACGACACACGTTTGGTAACGTTTTACACATTATTATTATTATAGTCATGATTAATGGTGCGATTGCCTTGTGTTTCTGAGAGCTATTTGCAATACCGTTGTGCTCTTGGACTAGACACTTAACAATCACAATTTATTATTAGAAACTGGATCATTGAGTAATGCAATTCGAGAGCTTTCACTGGTTTAGCCATCATGGGTTATGAGCCGTTATATCATGCTCTACAAATATGGCAAGCGTACGCGTGAATTTTTTGGGCGTGTTTATTTTTATTTCAATCTAGTTTTCTAGAATTTTGGGGCGTTTTTAATAAAAACAATTATTCCACACGCGCTTGTTGGATATGAAGATGATTATAGTCAACTCATATCCAACGCGCGCTCGTGGAATTATTGTTAAATATTTTTCCACAAAGGAGCGTAAATGGATACCAGTAAATTGAGGGGGAAAAGAGAACAGGCACTGGAGGGTTACGTCATTAATATTGCGATCTGTACAGGCCCGCAAATGATCCTCGAGCCGCAAATGTTCCCGGGACCGGAACTGATTCCACTGCAAAAAATTAGGAATGGCGTGGCCTCCATGAAAAGTCTATGGATGGATACATATTCTCTTAATTATCCTAGGTGAAGAAAAGACAAGCACCTCAGGCATAAAAGCAGCAATAAAAAACGTTTAACATACTGCGCAAAATACTAAATTGACATGTGTCGACTGCATAAATTTTTCGTCTAGGAAACGCACTGCAAAAAGAATCAAAGCAGACTATGGTCAAACTCGTGGATTAAGGGCCCATTAACCGATTTATGCGCGCGCTCGCGCGCGTTGCTAAGGAGGTGAAATTTCACTTCCGGTTACTTACGTCAGCCTGAGC